ATGTTAATGTCGGCACTTACCTTAAATGATGTCTCTTATTCCGATCTTCTTCTTTCCTGAGGTTTTCATCTGTCCCTCCAGCGGTGCGGCGGCTCTCCGATCCAGCGCTGACTCCTCTGTCCTTGCTGGTACTTCCTGTCCCACGGTGTCTGCATGCAAGTGCACGCGTCCATAGACTTACCTTGCGTCTCTCCTCGTCTCCCGGACGAAAATCCGAACTGCGCATGCGCCCGCCTCAAGATGCTTCGTGGCCGCCCGAGCAGTCTCGGATTTTCTGAGCATGCAGCGAAGACAAGGGTAAGTTTAAACCCCTGTTAAAGCGTTTGTTTAAAAAAAAAAAAAACTTTTTGCATATATCTACTGCTTGCTTTAGAAACCATTTAATTGGCCTGGACCTTCCCTGGAATATTTAGGAATACATCTGAGTCTTTCTTGTCAGATCTTATATGCAGTGTATTACCTTCCCACTTTCCAGAGCCTTAAAACTCTTGTAACTTCTTGGGCAAAACATAACATATCTTGTATGACGAAAATTCACGCTATTAAAATGACCATATTGCCTAAACCATAAAATGACCATATTGCCTAAACTATAAAATGACCATATTGCCTGGCTCCCACCTTGTTCCTTGGCTTCCTCCCAAATCAGGGTCTTTGATACATCTAGGTCTGGCTACCTCATAGTCTATTAAATATTTAATTAAGCTTATCTTACCACATTTACCTCTCCCACTTTTCTTGGGTACCTATTTTTACCTGTTCTGTCCAGATATTAAATGAGCATATATCCTCCAATAATGAGCTGCCACTTCTGCCATTAATTCCCAAGCAGTGGCTAGTTTATTTATTTTATCATTATTGGTATTTATGTAGTGTTGACAATTTACTCAGTACTTTACATCAGTCTCTGCCCTTAGGGACCTTAGATTGTAAGCTTCATATTTCACTTGCATACATACAGGGTCACTTTAGACAAAGTCAATTAACCTTCCAGCATGTCTTGGGAACCCCATGCAAGCACAGTTGTTCCCTGATGGCCTACAAAACATCTTCTTATCTACCATAACATAGGGAAGAGGTGTTCTGTAGTCCAGCAAGAGGGAATTGTGCCAAAAACATTTCCTGGGATTTCATTGCAGCAGAGGCAGCGTCATCAGCAATGGGATAGGATAGGATCACAGAAGGATAGAAGCTGGATGGAAATCTGGCAGATTAGCAGGTGCTCTTACAGATATTTTAAAGAGACAAAACTTGGAAAAATGTGCATGTGTTGCAGAGATTTACTGAATATTTTTCCTGTTTTTTTGGTACAAAGCATGGCAAAGTTACCATATTTTTCGCTCCATAAGATGCACTTTTTCCCCCGCAAAAGGCGAATCCCTATTGCCCGACGCCCGGAACATGCAGTTTTGGGCATCGGGCGAGTAGTTTTCTGTACATTTAGCTCTGCTGAAGCAGAGCTAAATGTACAGTGGGAGCCGCTGCTCGTTTAATACAAGTGATCTATTACAATCACTTGTATTAAAACCTAGCGGCGACAGCGATCGAGTCCCCCGCTCCTCTGGGGGACCCATGACCACGGGATAGGAGCTCACAATAGAGCCCCTAGAGCAGAAGAAGAACGTCAGTTCTTCGTCTGCTCTGTGTGAACACTAAGTAGACTTGTGCGCTGTCAAAAAATTTGTTCTGTTTCGTTTCGGAAATAAGACCGTGGCACTGTAGTCACAGCACCACCTGTCTCAGCGGTCACTAACTGCAGCTTCTGTAAAAGCTTCTGTCACAGAAACTGTCACAGAACCTGCCTGCGTCCTATGGTCCGGTGCGCCTTATGGAGCGCAAAATACGGTATTTACAAATTCAATAAAGGCCTTTTACAAAAATGGCCAAACAAATACAGAAACATGTTTGTGTACGAAAATTGGTGAAAAAATAAGGTTAAGGCAATTTTTAGTATCTCACCTTATAGTATCTCTGTGTTGCGTCCGAGGGTGATGAGGAGGACCTCCCTTGCAACCCTGTCTGATGACCACTGGGGTGAAGACAGTGTGCTCAGGCAGGGGGTGCACGGGTGCCGGATCAGGGTTTCCAGGTATCTGCTGTAGGTGGTAGTTGAGCGGAGTAGGCAGCCGTGCAGAGGAAGTGAAGACAAGCCGGGTCGATGTTAGGCAGACAGCGAAGTACAGAGGGATAATCCAAAGGGAACGTCAAGAAGGAAGCCAGGTAGTCAGGAACAATACAGGAGCAGATCACAGATGACTGGTGCTGGCTAGCAATCACTCAACAATGAATCCCAGTCCTGTGGGGCTTTAAATAGGCTGAGACGTTGTACTGCGCGTGCGCCGTCGTGATGACGTCACCCGCGCACGCGCAGCGTCATGACGTCACGACGTGCGGGGCAGCGCTGGGCCGGAACGCCCCCTTCATGCACGTCTCTGCACAGTGGCCTGGATCGGGACACGGCATGTCCCACGGGTCGGCACCCGACATGGCTGACGAGCCACCCAGACCGGAACCTGACCTGCCCGGACCGGGACCCGACACTCTGCATTGTGTATGAGAGCAGCAATTCTGCTAGCATAGAGGACGAAGTATGTCAAATAAATATATACATATAAAACAAATACATGCCAATTCTAAGAATCTGAATCAGACTACTAAAATTGCTGGAACTCAATTGCTGCACAGATGGAACCAATAACTCCCTATGGTATAATCTACATGAGTGGCATTAAAGCAATCCTGTCAGTAAGTGAAGTAAAAGAAACTTAGCCCAGCATGTAAAAGAGGAACATAAATACTTACCTTTCAGGTGGCCCATATCTTAACACTCCCCCACTCCTGCTGATAACTGTGGATCTCCCTATACCGACTCCTCTCATTACAAGCTGAGCATAGTGTAATCTGCTTCACTTATTAACAGAGTCACTTTAAAGGTGTAATTAAAGGTGTAGTTATTATTTATCTATTGTCCACTGATTGACCTAGCTCTGGTGATTAGGCAATCTAGGCTTTGCTGCTGCATACAGGAGAAATGGACACCAAGCAAAAAAATTAACCCTTCCCACCTCACACCTGCCAATTTCGCTTAGTGTCCCCCTGCTGGAATTTTGAGATGTCTTTCATCAACAGCAGCTTGTAGATTTATGTCGGATATTTTGAAATCCGTGAAGTTTCATAAGTCAGCCAACAATACTGGTAGGTTCATGCTGGATATTACAAAAACGTCTCTAGTCCTACGGAACCAGGCTTTCCCAGTCACCATGCTGTTGTTTCTCCATGTGATGGTCCTGTGTTCCTTCTGGTGATAGCCGTCGGTTAGGCCAGTATTGTCTGACAGACATCCCAACTCTCAACTATTGGATAGCGGCTCCCGGCCGCCCGGGAGAGAAACACTTCCTCCCGGAAAGGTTTATCTGCTCGATCGAGCAGATAAACCTTTCCCTGCGATCGTTTTTTTGTTCTTTTCTGACATCGGGAGCCGTGGCCCGACCGTCAGTCAGAAAAGAAACAAAAAGGCATACGAATCCATAGCTAGATTCCTATTGGCTATTGCACTTTGCAATAGCCAATAGCAAACTAGGTAATGTACCTGCCCACTGCTGCTGTCAATCAGCAGAGGGGGACCTGAATTTTTCTATCAGGTCCTCTTCTGGTGATTGAAAGCAGCAGAGGGCGGGTGCAAGAGCTAGTTTGCTATTGCAATCTAGCTATGCATTCTTATGCCTTTTTTTAAAATATTCTGACGACTGCAACTGTCAGAATACTAAAAACAAAATCAGAAAAAAAACCTGCAGATAGCAAAGAAGCTGTTGCTTCCTGTGCTATCTGCCATCATTTCAGGGGGGTGCTCTCTCCCAGCCCCCCTAACCCCCCTCCCTGGATGGGGGGGGGGCGTAGAGGGCACCTCCCTGAAATGAGAAGGACACCTCCCTGAAATGGCTTCTTTCAGGTTGGGATCCCTGGTCTGAGGACTCCTTTTATGTTGGGACCAGGGCCATGGCCGTCATGAGTAGACACTTTTTCTGCAACATTTTTATTCATTATTCTCCCTGTAGAGAACTGGGGTTTTCCCTCCTTTTTATTAAGTCTGGGGCAGTGTGCGCATATCTGCTAACTGTCATGACTCACATTCAGACAGCTCTTGCTTTGGATGTTGATTTTGTCAGCTTATGCTTCATATTTTACTCCATTGTTTAAAAATAAAAAAAACGAGGACAAGTCAGGTGGCTGCAGTTGTGGATCCACATCGCGACGTTGTAATGTGACGTCGGCGCTGGAGGAGGGGCCCGGATCTGCGGACCAGACACCGTGGCTGTGTAAGTCCCTGACAGCAGGAGAACCGATCTGCCCTGGAACAGCTGTTCGGTCCTGAAAGGTCAAACTCTGAGTGCGATCTTACATTCCACCCCACTCACAAAGTCGGATAGAAGTGACATTTCAGGTACGAACAGCTGTTCCAGGGCAGATTGGTTCTTCTGCACATACCATCTGCAATGCTGGAACAGATGACAAAGTGTTGGAATGCTTGACCTATTGGTGGTCACACATTCCACTGCTAAAAACTGGCGGGATTACATTGAAATGTGTGGCCACGTCACCAGTCACACATTCGAACCTAGTCACAAACTTTGATAGAACAGCGGCCCAGTCTAATCATTTAATCAGAGAAATAGATTATAATAGGTAACATTACAGTGTACCGTTCCCCATTATAATCCACTTATCTAATTAAATGAAATAGCACCACACAGTGTGCAGTTACACCTGTACCACCCCCTCCCTCCCCCCCGCTCCTCATTCGTATTCGCATGTCAAGCCTCACAGCCAGCATCCTAGCCAGACGGTGTGCACTGCAGGGGTGGAGCATGTGACACACACTTCTCCTCTCCCACCGCCTGGTACTAGGGACGCGGCCGGGAGAGGAGTCATAGGACCCGCCCCCTTGCTGAGAAGCCCATTGGCAGTGCGGGGCCCTGGGACCCTGCACTGCTATATATTCCACATGGGGGGGTGCCCGGGACCAAACCTCACTGGTCCCCCGCACAGCCTCAGGCCCAGAGGCCCCGGCCGTAGTTCCACCCATGAACAGGGAGCAGCAGCAGAGGGGTGAAAGAGCCACATGCGGCTCCTGTGCCGCGGGTTGCTGACCCCTGGGCTATCCAGTTTGGATCCAATCAAACAAAGCCACAGCAGTGGCTTACATCAATCATCAGGGGGGCACAAGGACTTTTTCAGCAGTGATGGAAGTGCACTCAATCTTATTCTTCTTGGACCTTCACATCCCTGCAATTTCAGCATTACACGTTCCAGGAGTAGAGAACTGGCAAGTGGACTTCCTCAGCAGACAACGGCTGGATCCAGGTAAATGGTCTTTCTGTCCTGAGCTATTTCGAAAATTGTGTTAGTGCTGGTGAACATCGGATGTGTACCTTCTAGTTCCACGATTCAAAAAGAAGGTGGACGGATTTGTATCCAGAGTGAGGGATCCAATGGTGGATGCAGTAGAAACCTAGGTTTCTCCATGGGATTGGTACATCCTGATCTATGCCTTTCCTCCTTTGAAGTTGTTGTTATGTCTGCTTTGCCACTGAAAATGAGGGCATTCTAGTCATTCACATAACTCCATGCTGACCTTGCAGAGTTTGATATGTCAAATTAGTTCATCTATTTGCTCACTCACTGTGGCCTCTTCCAAACCAGCCAGATCTAATATCTCAGGAACACATCTTTCACCCTGCTTCTCATTCGCTGGTTTTGATGGTTTGCATGTTGAACCCCAGGTCTTAAAAGACAAGGGTGTCACAGATTCTGTCATTCTGACTGTGCTTGGGGCTCGTTTACCATTTTACCAAAATGTATAATTTTACTTGAAAAATTTTACGTAAGGTGTTAGTCTTTGAAGGAAGGAAAGAACCCATACAACTGAAAAGTAAAGCAGGGAAAATCAAAGTTAGGAGTAGAATAATGTTTACCAGACATGTGCACCAGCAAAAAATGTGTTTAGTTTCGTTTTGATTTGGATTTTCGTTATTTCGTTTTTCGGATTCGGGTCCGCAATGAAGAATGTCAAACGGCTGAGAATGTCAAATGGGCGGAGTGAGCCGTGATGTCACGGCTCGCTCCGCCCATCTGTTGACATTCGGGCTGAATGTCATTTTGCGGTGAGTTTTCGCCGGGTTCGGGTGGTCGTTGTGCGGCGGGACTTTTTTTTATTTCGGCGGGTCGGTGGGGGTTGTGCATCGTGATTGACGCTGGATTACATCGATGGGGCCATTTTTTTTCAATTAAAGGAATAGTCAAACATTGAGTCTTTGTTTTTTTTTAAATTAGAAGGATTTTTATCTAAAAGTCTGGACTTTTTACTAACTATTTGATGTAACCCTTTAGTGAGTGGGTAGGGGTACAAGTACCCCTACTCATTCACAAGGGGGAGGGTGGCATCTGGGAGCCCCCTTATTTAAAGGGGTACCCCATGCAAATAAGCCCCCTTGCCTGTAGACCCCCACAACCACCGGGTCAGGGTTGTGAGGAAGAGGCCCTTGTCCCCATCGGCACGGGGACACCCTCCCAATCCCGAGGGCACGTGGCCTGGTAAGGCGAGGGGGGGGCGCTCGATCGTCCTTTCCTGCCCTGCCGGGCCAGTGCTCGGATCAAGGGTCTGGTAGGACTGTTAGAGGGGAACTCTGGAATGGATTTTGGGGGGAACCCCACACACTTTTTTTTTGTTTTAACTTGGGGGAGGGTCCCTCCTAACATTCCTACCAGACCTAAAGGGTCTGGTATGAATTGGGGGGGAACCTCACACTTTTTTTTTTTTTTTTCATCTTCTGCAGACTGAAAAAAAAATGTCTAATGTCACTTTGCTGCTAACGAAATTTCGTTCAATAAACGAAATTTCGACCGGACTACCGCTAACGAATTTCGGGAAATCGGGAATTCGAATTCGTTTGCATTCGTTATAGCTGTAATTCGGAATTCGGATGCATCCGAATTTCTGAAATTTCGTCCGAATTTCGATTAGTTTGTATTCGTTTTAGCTGTAATTCGGATGCTTTCAAATCTCAGAATTTCCGAAAATGCGTCCGAATTTCGATTCGGAACGAAACGAATCGCACATGTCTAACGTTTACCTCCTAGCACCATCAAGGGTTAGGTATCTGCTTTATCTTTTCTCTTCAATGTCTTCTTGCTTCTAATTTTTAAAGTCACACTTTCATTCAGGGGTTGCACATGATGCTGCACTAGGGATATAAACTTGGTTCCATTAATGTTACAGAAATCTAATTTTGAGCCAATTCGATATATATATATATTTCTTTATTTTTGTTGTCCCAAATAGTTGCATTCATTGTAGCCATTACTTCAGCTAGGTGAATTTCTGAGCTGCCTTGTAAAGAACTGTATTTGGTCTTGCAGAACGAAAAAGTTATTTTGACAAAACGAACCTCTTTTGTTTGCCCAAAGTGGCCTTTGCTTTTCATCTCAATAAAGACATTGTGTTGTCTTTGCTTTGTCCGGCTCCAGTTTATCCCACTGAGGTTATTCTCCAAAGTTTGGATGTTGTGCGAACTGTTAGGGTTTAACTTTCAGCCAAGGCTACTTTTAAGCAGACTCCATTTGTTGTTCCAAAAGGTCCAGAAAAAGGTAGTTTGGCTTCCAGTTCCACCATTTCTAAGTGGATTTGTGAGGTCATTGTTTAGGTTTATGAGTTACAGGATAATGTGCCTCACTTTCCTGTTACTGCCCACACTACCAGGGTGGTGAGCACTTTTTGGGCTTTTTGTCTTAAAGCTTCTGCGACTTACATTTTGCTCACACTTTTTCCAAGTTTTAGAAAGTTGATGTTTCTGCCTCCTCTTATGCTAGTTTGGCAGAAAAGTTCTTCAGGCAGCTGTTTGATGCCCCTATTTTTTTCTGTTGGGCTGGGTTATCTAACAATGGTTGTGTGTCTGCCCATCTGTATGGACTGCTTTTGAATACATTGCTTAATTATCAGAGCTGTGTCTCTCAGTGGAGGATGGAGTAAACAGGATTTTTGTACTAACCATAAAATCTTTTTCACAGAGTCCGTTGAGGGACACAGCTCCCTCCCCTTATTTTCTCTTTTTTTTTTAGACTGCTTGCAACAACTGGCCGGTGTGAGGGATTATAGCCTTAAATAGGCAGGCCTTTAATTTAAAAACAAAAAACAACCGGGCGACTTTCCTGGAGCAGGCAAAACCTTTTTATTCAAGAGTAAAAAAATACACTAAAAAATAAGGCAGTATATAAAAGCATCAAAATTAACTGACAGTCCTTGATTAAATAGCTGCAGAGCTCCACTGCTAATGCTTATCGTGCTTTCGGGGACACACCCCCTTCCTCAGAGCTTAGACAGTCTAGCTCACTATGGGGTCTAATCACAAAGCTGCCGAAGGATCTGGCAGTAGCTTCGGCCGATCCTTCGGCTAGCTTCGATGTGCTATTTTATACTCTACAGCCAGTCAAAAGGATCACTAGGATCAAAATCCCACCAATTGTAGCCCAGCATAATCTTACCAGGGAGGCAAGTAGATAGCCAATCACAGAGAAAAAAAAAGGTGGGCAATAACTTTGTCAGGGAAGCCACCCCCATGCTTTTATATACTGCCCTATTCTTGAGTATATTTTTATTACTCTTTTGTTGAATAAAAAGGTTTTACCTACACCAAGAAAGGCACCCGGTTGTTTTTTTGTTTTTCTATATAGCCTTCTGAACTTCCTGACTGGAACGGGGCAGCCTCTACTGGATGCGCAGTGAAGGGTTCTGGCTTATGGATGGTCTTCTGGCGCTGGTCGGTGCATTGCATTTTTTGGACTTTAAATTGTTTTGCCTTGTGTCCATTTCTCCTTTAATCATCAAAGCTGTGTCCCTTAATGGACAAAAAAAAAGGATTACGGTGAGCACAAAAATTCCTATTTACACTGAAACTTGCATACAGAAGACTGTAATTTGTTTATAACCATTTTTCTGCCTAATATACAATTTGTTTTCTCTCTAGCGCTCCATGGGTCTTTCCCAATAAAGATTCATATAGATGCCGATGTGTTCCCACATTTTTCTGTTCTTGTTTACACTATATTGCCAAAAGGGGAAACTCTTTCTGACCGCAACAGGTTCAATGTCTCACCATGTTATAAGAATAAGGTGAGTAGAACATGCCAGCTTCATTGTAAAGTGCAAGTACAACTCTATGTGCAAAGCGAGGTAACCCATGGAATGCAAAATTAGTCATTATTATTATTTATTTTGAATAACAAATATATATGAATCACATAGAGGACAGCAATTTTGGTCTCATCCAACTTCTGCATCCATACTAGTTTTGGTACCAAAGGCATATTGTGGTTTAAAGGGGACAAATAATATAACACTAAATTTAAAAAAATAGAAAATTGCATCATAGTTACCAGTAATTTTACTTTCCTGGTGCCTATACATGGTAGCATACCCTTGATATAGCTCCGCCGCTCATCCTCTCCCACAGGACCAGTGAAAATCTATTAAAAAAAAGAGAGAGAGACTCCCCCTGCATTCTTGTAACTATACTCCGTCAACAAACAGGGAGGGAAAGTATGTTGCCGTGGGCAGGCACTAGGAAAGGAAAATTACTGGTAAGCATGATACAATTTTCCGTTTTCCTGGCGCCTTCATGGCAGCATACCCTTGATAAATAACAAGCTGAGGGTGCGCAAATGTGATGCCAAAAAGAAAATATTTTACTGAGAAAAATACTCAGAATGCCTGGATCAATCCTGTAATGTTTGAAAAAGGTATGATTTGAGGACCAGCTTGCCGCTTTGCAAATGGTCTCAATTGGAACCCTGGCTTGTGAAGCCCATGAGGTCACCACAGCTCATGTTGAATGAGCCTTCACCACATCCGGCAGCTGCCTGCCTGCTGCACCGTATGCACTCCCAATCGTCTTTACAATCCAGGAGGAGAGTGTCCTAGTCGTTGCCTCCTTTCCCTTGAACTTTCCTCCTGGAACTATAAATAGGCACTTTGAAGATCTGAATGGGTTGGTGACATCAAGGTAGATTCTCAACGCTCTGGTAACATCGAGCTCTCGAATCTCTGGGCCATGTGAACTCTCCGTGAATGCTGGTAAGACCCATTCTTGTGCTAAATGGAAATGTGAGACCACTTTAGGGAGGAGGTGAGGGAGAAGTTCATGCCTGCAGCGAAGGAGACAAATTTCTTCCAAACGTTGTTGTAAACATTGGTGGTAGTTTTTCTGGCCTTTTGTAAGGTCGTTATCAATTCCAAAGAACAACCTACTGACAAATGCTGTCTCATGAAGGAAGACTGTGTGCCTCTCCAACCTCTTTTCTGTTCTTTCCCCTGGCGAAAAGGTTTTGCGCCAAATCTTGGCTGTTGTTGGCAAAAAGATAACATTTTCTGCCGCTCCATACTACGATCCTGTGGGAGTAGGCCATACTTCCCACCAGTCACCCGCGAGAAAGCCGCCTCCATCTTTTCCCCCGAACAGGGATTTTCCATCAAAGGGTATCTTACACCATGACTGTTTTGATGATGGATCCGCCGCCCAGGGTTTCAGCGATAGGGCTCTCTTCGTAGTAACTGAATATAGCATGGAACGGGCAGAACACTGGATGACATCTATGGCTGCTTCTCCGATAAAGAATTGAATTCATCGAGGGCCCTGAAGATATCCTCTTTCGGGAGGTCCCGTCTAATGACCGATTCAACATTTTCTGTCCTGCTCGATATAGCTCTGGAGACAGAGGTTTACATGCAGCACCTGCCATCTGATAGATTTTTTTAAAATCCTGGTCAATCCTCCTGTCTAAGTTGTCCCTAAAGGAGGCTGCATCCTCCATGGGGAGGGTGGCGTTTTTGGCTAGGCGCATAATTGCTGCATCCACCACTGGGAATTGTCTAAAGAGGACGAGGCCTCCTACTCCAGGGGGTAGAGCTTCTGTAGACGGTTACACATCGGCCTCCTTTCGACTCTTTTCCATTCTTCTGCCATGAGGTCCCTAATCTCCTCCATAAATGGAAAATTAGAGTTCTGCTCCTTAAGGAAAGGAAAACAACATTATTTGCTTCTTTGGAGATTCAGGGGGATCCTCCCATTCAATAGATTGCTTAACCGCCCGGATGCCAGGTTGAACCAGGGCAAAGCTGAATCCAGAAGCCTCTTCTTTTTCCAACGAGGATTTGGACTCTTCCTTCATACCCGGCTGGCTCACTGCGGGCCCTACCGAATTAGACTGCAAGGAGGTTGAAGCCGGCTGGCCTGGCAGAATCACGGCCTGACTGGAAAGCAGCGATGCTTACAATAGAGAAGGAGCTGGGAGGCTTGCTCTAAACTCTGCCAGTGATTCTCACATCACTTCTTCAAGGAAGGACGTCACCTGAGCCCCTTTATTGTGTTGATCCAATGCAATGTCACCTAGACAGCCAACACACACCAGTTTATCCGGCAAGGAAATGTTGCCACATGCCCAGTACATGTTCTTGCTGGGTCTGTGTGCCCTTCCAGGAGAAGGTGACATCTGCCTTCTTTTTTCCATCCTTTTCCTTGGGGGTGAAAGTGCCCTTTCTCTACTCTAGTGCTCAGAAGAATGGCCCCAATGTGTCCTGCTCCGTCGGGACTTGCGTGACTTTGAGGCAGGAGAGCAAAGAGGGCTGAAAAAAATAAATGCACAGACTATGACCAAAACACTTTTTTTTTGTTTTACTTACCCTAAAGCGAATGGCTGTTCTGGTAATCGTGGTGAACGGCTCATGATGAAAGAAGGGAGCGACTTTCAGGCAGGAAGTGAATCTTACCAAAGAGTTTAGAGTAAGAGAAACAAAGCAGTATAGAAAAGAGCAGACCGATAGAGGCATTGAGGGGGGGAAAAAACACTGACCGCGCGCGAGAGAGAGACCCATCCTCTTCAATATTTAATAAATGGTTGAAAGTTTAATACCACTTTAACTGCTAAGTAAGTTGATAAGCTTATTGAGTTGGCAACATTTTCCCTTTAGAAATGGTAGAACATCTTACAGCAGTCAAGGGCAGGTTTTATTCTAGTGCAGTTCTATGTATGCCTTCTAAAGGGGACAATTCAAATCATTTAGACTTCACTTCTGCAACTTTTCATTTAGGTGCAGCTTAAGTTCTCTGAAGAAGAAGTCCTTCCTGGAGGTAAGGTGAATCTGGAGGTTTCCGCAGAGGCTGGGTCACTGTGCAGTGTGCGCTCTATGGACAAAGGATACTTTCTTCAATATCCTTATGAGGATTACTCATTTGCTAATGATGTTGTAAGTTGCAATTTCAGATTAACACCACTTAAAGTGACGTTCAAGGATAAAAATGTTTCCCTCACCCAATGTTAATGTCAGCACTTACCTTAAATTATGTCTCTTAATCCGATCTTCTTCTTCTTTCCTCATGTTTTCATCTGTCCGATCCAGCGCTGACTCATCTCTGCTTGCAGGCACTTCTGATCCAGCGGTGTCTGCATGCGGGTGCACGCATTCATAGACTTACCGTGCGTCTCTGCTCGTCTCCCGGCCAAGAATCCAAACTGCGCATGCGCCCGCCCCAAGATCCCTTGCGGCCGCACGAGCAGTTCCGGATTCTCAGCTCGTGAGCGCGCAGCGATAACGAGGTAAGTTTAAGCCGCTGTTAAAGCGGGTTTAAAAAAAAAACTTTTTGCCTATATCTACTGCTTGCTAGCAGTAGGTATAGGCAAACAAAAACGGAGGCTTTAGAACCACTTTAAATCAATCTAAAACTTTAGAAGCCTTCTACTATCCTTTTATTTGTTGACAGTTTTAGGACTTTATTTAGGGGTAACAATCTTTGCACTGTGTCTGTTACCCATTACCTGGACAGTAATTGAGAAGAAATCTCTCTAATGGAGTCATAGGGAACAGAATCTGTTCTAAACCTTCCCCATATGTTTTTTAAAAAGATGTGTTTCTAGTAAACACATTTTCACACCTTTATTCTCTGATCACAGGCTAGGGTAGAGCTAATATCTGTGTAAAGTTCAACAAACACAGCCAATCTGATTGTACAATCTCCTTTAGATGTACCAACAAGTATGTAGTACATGGGCTGGCCTGATTGTATACAGATTGATTGGATAGATTGGGTAGGTCTTCATATTACATAGTTTTGGTAGATCTAAAGTTGATTGCATAGAGATTGTATGGCCATATTGCAACGAGTGTGGTGAGCCTTAGGTTTGTGTTGATGGACTTTTGTTTGCCTCAAGAGCGTTGTTCATTCCAATAGAGGTCTATTGGAAAGCAAAGCCCGCTTGAGACAGGTCAGAAGGTCAACTACAGGTCAAATGAACCTCTCAATGAATTCTGAATGAATGATCTTAGAAGCTTTTCAAACTGATGCCATTGACACATGTCCAACATGTGTCTCCTGCTCTGCCAGTCAAGGCTGTATTGCTAAGCTGTGAATAACACAAAACTGGATGAGCAGAAGTACAAATCCTTTTGCAGGCAAAACAACTTCATTATATGTATTTTATCTATGTGCTTAGCTGTTTGCCTGAAGTTCAGGTTTAATATTAGGGAAGGTATACTTTAATTTGTGCATAGAGAATACAGACTATGTGCCATATTTTGGATTAATAGTTATTTACTCTTCACTTAGGATCGAATATGAATTAATACATAATTTGTTTTGTTGTCACAGATAAACAGTGTGCCAAGGTCATTACACGAATACACATATGGATATTTCTATGAAATTGACGAACCTACCCAGTGCCCGGAAAATCAGACAGTATTTACAGATATATATTTATTGAACGCACGGGATTCTGCAGCTATATTTAAGGTATGGCTATGGATGTACACACTGTGTTTCTCTGTCCTAAATTATGACAAGAGCTCTGAAAAATATTAATAAAATGTGCATGTATATAATGTAAATTAAGTCACAAACTTTTTTGAAAAGCCAGCAAAAAACATCCTTATTTTTTTTGTGTAAACCACCAATCCCATCAACCACCATGTAATGGGGATGAACAAAGGCAGAAATATTTGTCCAGTCTGTGACAACCATGTCTGCTTTTAAAAAATATATTGGACAAAGAAGTGTAGACATGCAGGGACAGGAAGTGTTTTATTTCTAAGAATAAATGTAAAAAATAAAAACCTGAAAAAAAACTTTGGGTTTGGGTAAGCTTTAAAGTGACAAAAACCAAAATGGCGTCTTCCCTGGTGCAGTAATCCTTTAATAATGGATATGAATAAATAATAACATATTTACAAGTATAGCTGAAGAAAGAACCTTTTACAAGCAGAAATGATGGACCAAAATCAGCAGTATATATGGACTATGGATCAGTCCTGAAAAGGGGGAAGGGCCCCCAAAAACATGTTAAGTCTTGGGCTCCTTACAGCAGATTGCCAGATCAACAGCCTGTACAATGCTGTTGATCTGGCGGTCTGCTTTAAGGAGCAATTGTACGTGTAATTTTGCAACACCTCGGGCACTTCTGTGTGCAATGACTCACAGTGAGGATGTGATGTGGAGGGATTTAACATGCTTTACGCAATGAGTTATGTCCAGCTTCCCTGGAGACTAATAGAATGCAAGTGTAGGAAGTGTATCGCAGGCTAATAGACTGCAAGTTCGGGAAGTGTATCACATATATTCCCTCTGAGTAATGTAGATGGATAAACAAGCAATTTTAATCAGGAATATTCAACATGCAATCAACTTGATAGTAGAACAGTGAGAGGATATTTTATATCAGCGGGAATATTTCATAGACATTCATTTGGTATTTAGTTTGGTATATTTTGTACTTGCAATTTAGAAGTATTGCGCTGGTGATCAATCTGGAACTCAGACTTATCCCCAGGAAGCCTTGTTAAGAGTCCTCTGTAGAAAATGATCTCAGTGGTTGCTAAGTGCAACGTAACCCCAATAGGCAGTCAGGGGTGCTACTCCACAATGGTAGAACTGGCAAGCAGTGAATACGATCCAGTAACTCTGTTAAAGGAGTGAAGCTTGAGATTGAGACAGTATTCAGAGACTGCAGAGATCAGGGTGTCTGAGGCAGGTGTGAGGCGGGTATATGGCAGGTTCAGCGTGCGGAGTAGGAGCGGTAGTTCCCAACGTCTTCTCCCTTGCTTGAATGCCGGGAAATTGAATCCTGCAGCTTAAACAGACAGAGGATAAGAGGCCTGGTGACATCCGCGATGACGCGGCAGAAGCCTGCACCGATCCCAGGACGACGGACGGGTAAGTCTCTTACACATTTTGTCCATATATACTGCTAATTGGGTCCATCATTTCTGCATGTGAAAGGTTCTTTGTGCATCTATTCTTTGTGAGTATGGTTGTAATTATTTATAGCCATTAATAAAGGATTACTACGCCAAAGAAGGCGCCCTTTTGGTTTTTGTATCTTTAATAGATGATAAACCAAATGTGAGATTGTAGTAAGGCCCCTTTCTGTTAGCTGGGATTTGTTTAAAAAAAAAAAAAAAATCCATCATTAGCCTAATTTTAGCTTTTTTCCCCCCCACAGAATGAAGAAAATAAATATATAAAGCATCAAAAATGAGATAATTTATTAAGTACACATAATAGTGGGAAAAGCACACAGAGAAAGACTGCTAGCTAAACTAAACTAAACTACCCCTGTACCAGTGACGTGCAGTACCTTCTGTAGTGGGTGAGGCATGTCCCCAGCATGCCCCACCCTGCCCCCAGCATGCTGAAGCCCGGCCACAGCACTCTGAAGCCCCAGCCCCACCCCACCTTGTCATCAAGCTATGTGTGGAGGAAGGAGAAGATAGGGAGGAGCACTGGTGAGGCATCAAGATTGATGTCCTCAGTGTTTTTCTTTTCTTTTTTTGATTGGACAGCTTGGACCAATGGCGCTTTGCCATTGGTCCAAACCATCCACAGAGCTCAAGTCTCTAACAGAGTAGAGGCTGTTGCAGCTCTTGTCTCACTATGTTAGGTTACACAAGCAGTGGGGAAGCCCGCTGCTGTATAACCTAACATAGCTGTCAAAAGCCAGATGCTTAATGAGTAGCTTAACAGGCAGTGCTCCGTCCATGACAGGTTACACAGAGGGCAGGCTTTCCCTGCTGTGTAACCTGTTACAAGTCGCTCCGAATGGAGAAAAAGTGGTCACTTTTAGACTTGATGCTGACAGCTTTTTCCTCCACAATACTAGGTGAGGCCAATTACATACCCGGAAAACAAGTAGTTTTTATCCAAGAAGATTTCTGCTCAGGAAAGTGTGTTGAATCACTTAAATCCAGCTAAATAAACTTTGTTTGGCCAGGTTTATTAGTAATTTTCAACACAGTTTATATTCCATAAAAGTGTAAACAGCTAGGGGCATGTCAGGAAGTACTTGATCTTACATTGTTATAATAGACACTCATTGTGAAACGTGTCAGAACTATGTCTAGTATTCTTTAAAAAAGTATGGGGTGCATAGAATATATATCTATATTTTAATTTTGCTAATAAAACTAGAAGTTCACCTTAATTAAGGACTCATTAGAACATGTCAGGACATTTCTTTTTTAGAGTTATACAATATATGAGAGTTGTGGTATCTGCCTTTTACTACACAGAAAGGCAATCTATACATAATCACCAACACTCACATCAAGTTACCGGTGAAATGTGTTGCTGAGGTGATCAGTGCTCGTTCTTCAACCACAAAGAAAAAGAGCGATTCCAAAGGTACTTCCATGTCTGTTCATGCTATGCTAATGCTTTAAATGAAGATAAACTATGACAAAGTATATATTTCAAGTCATTTTTCACAGCTTGTATGTTCTATCTTAATTTCTCTTCCAGTTGCATTTCCGCTCTCACTGACCCTTCACACCCTTAACTGCACACATAAAGTGCATGTACAGTGTTCATGTACATATGATATTTAGTTTTATGTAGATATTACCAGAATAAATAATTTGGGGGATTTAAACAGATTAATTGTACTACCACAAAAATGTTTAACTGTCACATTTCTTTCACTAAAATTATGAAAGTCGAGCTAGTGGTCACCTTAAGCTTTCAATCATGTGAATAAAACATTTTTTTTATTCCTCTTATTGATTGCATGTTGAATGTGACCACAGGTTTACTTAAAGCATATCTTAACCCAAAAGCAAAAATGTAATATACTGCAGCTTGCTAATCCATAAATGTGATGTCTGCATCAGTTTTTTAGGCTTGTTTTCCTTTATTTTCATCTGGTTATTTTTCAACTTCCTTTAACAGCCCACCTGCCCAGCAAAAGTGGCAGTTCGAAGGTTGAGACAAACCATTTAACACAAATATTGGTGCTTACAATGGTCAGCTTTAATTAATTTATGTAAAACCTTTATCCCAAAAGGAAAAATAAAAATGCTGTAACTGCTCAAAAAGTGTGACCAGCTTTACTTTGTTAGTCAAGTCCATCTACATTTGTGCATTTAACACTTACCTCTCCTCAAGTTACCAATCCAGCTTCCCAAGGGTGGTTCCATAGTGAACCCCTCTAAAGCTGGCCATACACCAGTAGATCTTTCTTTACCACCTGATAATGCTATCAGAGACTTGACAAATGTTGAACAAAATGTTGTTTTATTTTAACATTTGATTTAGGAATGAATGAAGTTTTCCAAATGAAAATCACGATCACTGTAAGAATTTAGTTTGTTCAAATCAATGATCAATTTGACCTCATCAAGTAATAGAAAGTCAAATTAAAGATCTTTTGTACCCAACGTTCTTTCAAAAGTCTACTAGTGTATGGCCACCTTAAGACAGAAAGTGGAAAAATAACAGACTTGCTGGTCAGATCACCAGGAATAAACATAAAGGAAGAGAGGCTCAGAAAAGGAAAACACGTGCATCCAACACATCTAATCTGTAAGCGGCAATATACTAAATATTTAGTTTTCGGGTTTAAATGCACTTTGATCTCATTGTGAAGTTTAGTAAATCAAGCCCAATATGTCAACTGTTTTCTTTAAGAAAACCTGTATTCTGCCCATGCACAGTTCATTTTCATGTCACCACTCTAGCAGTCTTTTCTACGCACCCCCACCGCTCAGCTCAATCGTCAAGTGCAAAGAAAAAACAGGTGCTTCCGGGAATGTAGAGCATTTGACCCACTCCCCCTTCCTCTCTTGTGACAGTAGTGATGCTTTAATATTGATCCCAAGTGTCGAATACGGGCAGGCTGCACTGTCAGTTCTCCCACCATGCCACCAGATGTTGCTGCAGCAGCCATGGCCGAGGAGGAGCAGCGAGGGGAGCAGGATGGAAAGTTTCTGCAGTCAAACTGCAGTGAGTGACACATGGATTAGTGCTGGTATTGGGAGGGCTTCCCCCCGGGGCAGACCTACTGCTGATGCAGCCTGTGCAGTAGGAAAGGGGAGAGCCATGCAGTCGGGGCTGTCAGTGGCTCCCCAGGTGATCGCTGTGCAGTCTCTGGGATCGGACTGTCAGTGGAGAGCAACCAAAAAGGTCAGAAATAGCAGATTTCTATAAAATTATTGTCCAACTTGCTGGAGAATTATTCCATGCAGAGGGTGGTGTGTGAGGCAGATCTGTTATCATTGCAAGCGATCGTGCAAAGAAGGTTGTATGTATCGGACAAATGTAGGTCCTGAGGGTACACAGCTTGAGAACCACTGAACTAGAGCAACTTGGAGCTTAGAGAAGGCTTCCTTTCTTCTCTCCTGATGGTAGAACGGAGTGGCAGGGGAGTGAAGGAAAAATCTAAATGTGCATCTAGTGCTGCATTTTGTTTTTAACAGATCCTTTTTTATTCCGAAGTGGCTTGTTGTAGTTTTTCACTGTTTCTTTATGTTCCCTTTTGTATTCTCAAGCCAAAACAGAGAAGGGAAAGCGTACCACAAGGAGGTTCTTTCCAGACACCTGGCTGTTTGACTTAGCGTTGGTGGGGTAAGTATTATATGCTTTGGATGATTATTTATACTTTCTTAAAATAAAGAAAAGTAATTATTATTGGGCTACTAAGCCACAAATAACATATTAACAATACATAAAAGCTATACTAAGAACAGTCACAAATGCGCATGTAAAGCAAAAGGCACATGCATTAGAAGGCACAATTGACTCCTCTCCCTCCTTGTGACTGTTACCTTTTAAAGTTTTAATCAGACAAAGTGAGCCTGAAGGCAGGAAGCTTCTACGTTCCTCTCATTAAGTAACCCCTATGAAAGTTGTAGTGCTATCAGCAGACTTCAAAAAAAAAACTGAAACACACTAAAAAAAAACAGCCTAATACATATTCGGAGAGCAGTATAAATCGTCACTCTCTTGAAGAACTCGGGGTGCCATTGCTAATCAACAGTTACAGCCAGGTTGGACTGTGTACCCTTCACTGCACACTGTTTTTGTCTGGCCAACATCTACATAACTACAGGACACAGTAGTGGCATAGTGGTTCTCCTGTCAAAGTGCACCCCCCTTGTGATGCCACTGGACAGAAGGAACCACAGCTCCTAGCAGTGGATGCTTTATCCGACACACCCAGAAGTGCTGGATAGCAGCAGTGCCTGGAGGGCCTTAAAAAGAGCAAAGATTTAAAACTGCCTACTGTAAAGGTGAGTATTGTGGCATTTTATTTTTTCTAGTCTGCTAGCAATGTTGCTTTAACATTAGAAGGGCCCATAGTGGATTGCTCCACAGCCCAAAGAGCATTAAGCTGAACTCCAGGCATATACTTTTTAATTTAAATGCAGAGACAAAGGATATATAACCCCTTTGTCTGAGCCAAATGCATTAACAAACACAGATATCATTTTGTAAAAATGGGAGACATCACCACTGTATTGCACACAGCATGTGCAGAGAGCAGAGCTGTGGAAGGGACCCAGATGGTCCTCCCACTACAGAATACCTGCAAAAAAGTGCAAGGCCATAGATACAAGACCAGTCATCCTGAACAAGGAGAGGGAGAGGCCATGACTGGTCTTTATTACAGGAAAATTCTGCAGAGATGCAAACTGCAGTAGTTGTTTCATGCTGTGGATTACTGTACATATGTGGAATAAATACACAAATCACACCAAGATTCAACTTGAAAATACATATGGCTCTTGTATATGGACACTATTTGTTTTGCCTGGAGTTCAGCTTTAAAGGGAAGTGAGAAGAGCTATTTACTAATGTATACAATTCAATACACTGCTTAACACTGAAGAACTCTTCTCCTATCGGCTTTCTGGATAGCCACACTGTTTGGGCCAACTTTAATTCCCTTATCGGTACTCACTTCATCTCCTCCCCATAAGTTCTTTTATAGCACCACTGCAAACACATGGAACAAACCACCACTCTTGTTTAGGTACCTTTCCGAACTGTGTAGGTGGAAGGTCACACCTTGATCCATAGATCTGACACTTACTAAAATGCAGTATAACAAATTTCTGACATTATTTCCATCTACAAGATTCCATGAGTCTCTAGCTGATGCAGACGCTGAAATGTAGCATCCCCAAATTAAAGTTTCTAACAATCTTCTTTTATCCATCAGACACCCGTAGGGGGAACACATTCCCTCGCCCTCCTGGAAGGGATCTTCCTCAGTTGTTCACATAGGTGGCCTAGTTGTCTCAAATCCCAAGAATATATATTTTTTACCTGTGCAGAACTCCTTCTCCACACAGCACCCAGCAACCTTATCATTCCTTTAAGTGTATAAATGCTTTCTGTATCTTTTGTTTTTTTAACTGTGTATTTAGTGATTTGGTTCGAATATACCCTTTCTTTTTCTATAGACCAGAAGGTCACACTTTGCTAAACCTGACTACACCAGACAGTATCACCAAATGGGAGACAGAAGCGATGTGCTTGGGAAAATCTGGCATTGGGGAAATCAGAAATGTTGGGCTTGTCACCTTCCAGCCTTATTTCATTGAACTAATTCTGCCTTACTCTGTGGTACAAGGAGAGAAATTTCAAATTGAAGCCCAGGTCTTCAGCTATGAGAAGCAATGTATTCTGGTAAGACTAAGTATCAGTCAATAAACCCTAAGTGGGTGCCACTTAGTTTGCTACAGCACTGTGTAACAAACAATTTTGTTTTAACAAAATACTGTTTGAAACTTTTTAGTCTCAGTACCAGGGGTGAGGGAGTTGTCGAGGAGGCTCACGACATTTGAAGAGGTTTGGCACCAGGGTGCACTGATTCGCCACTCTCTTTCCTTGATTTATAAGCTTTTTTATTCTCTGTATTTTGGGGTTTGCCCTCCATTTGTCAGGAAATGGGAGTTGAAGTTGGGTGGAACCTTTACAGAGCGACAGAGGAGCACGATACTATCCCTCGTCCATAGACCCTCTATGGCGAGTAAGTCCCAGGAACAGGGTTATGAGATACTGATTCGCTGGTATAGAGTCCCTCACATTTTGCACAAAATGAATAAGTCGATCCTTCCAACCTGCTTGAGATGTTGCCAGAGTCCTGGGGCCATCTCTCACATGTTTTGTCATTGCTCGATTATCCGCCCTTTTTGGGATTCTGTGAAGTCGGTGATAAACCAGTTGGTGATCACAGCGTTCCCCAATGATCCTGCTTTTATCCTCCTGCACATAGCCTCCTCTTCAATCCCATGGTACAAATGATCGTTGACCATCTATATGCTGAATGCAGCGAGATCCTGCATTCCATTGTTGTGAAGACAATCTAGTGTGCTGGAGGAAATCTATCATATGGAGGATTTGACTGCCTCCTTAAGCAATACCGAGGAGAGGACTCGATCCACCTGGATGCCATAGTTTCATTTCAAACAGACTCTGGCCTATTTGCGGGTTTTGGGCTCTGACCTACCTGCCTCCCATTCGCCAGGTTGAGTGGGGTGTCCGCTGTATTGAGAGATGGTGTAGGAGGTCCCAAAGAGAGGGCGTTTCTGGGTTCTCTCTCTCTCTCTCTTCTTTCTTTCTCTTCCCTTTTCCCTCAGCCCTCTGATTCCTTTTTGTTTCTTTTGCTTCTACTGTTTTTTTACCACTATTTTTAACTGTTTTTACCACTATTTTTGTTGAGCTCCATTCTCCCCACGTACGGATTTTAGTTAGTCAATATAACAAGGACTATTATTGGAGGCACTTGTGCCTTTATTCGAGGTAGATGGTACCCAAATTCCACGTATTTTCTAGCCAGGGTGATTCATTGCCCCGCTTGTTTTGGCTGCATTTGCTTATTATATTTTACTGTTTATGTATAACATCTTATTTTTTGTTTGATCTACCTGACGGTTGATATATATATAAAACATTTATGATGGTTGATATTTGTAATTCTGATGGAATATGATATGTAATTTTAATGTTCCTTTCGAGTATTATAAGCTATTACATGGTGTTTCTTATGTTATGTTACTATTTTTGGCTCATCGGTTTTAGTGCTTCACTTAAGAACTGTAGAGATTACAGGCCCAGATTAACCGATCTCTGTTTTTTGGAATTTGAAGAGACCTGGCAAACTGAGGGCATTCTAAGGTCACTACAGCTAAATGAAATAATGTTATATTTAATATTAATAGGCTCAAACCTCATTATCATTACAGCGTTCACATTAAAAAGTTTGTTCTAGTGGTTTCTTAACTTTTCTTTTATTCTTACAGGTAGTCGTTTCCCTATCTGAGGCAGATGGTATCCAAACAGTCCAAAGCAAAGAACAAGCCCAATGTGTCTGTGATGGTCATGCCACCTACTTCAGCTGGAATGCTACAGCTTCAAAACTAGGTACAACTCAGATGTATTCTCAACATTGATGGATTTTCATAGAAAAATATAGAAAAATAATTCACTTACCTGAGAGGAGAATTTAGGAACTGACTAAGTATCATTGGAAACATCTCATTCAATCTCAGCATGCTTGATTTAGATCTCTGCTTTAGTTTAAATTCCAAAGCAGACACCCTTTCTAAATAAAGAAGCTCAAGCTCAATATATGGAACCATTTTTCCGGCATATATACACTGTTTCCGGCAGTTTTTTTGCAGGGCATTGACACTGTGGTTTCAATGGAAAAGGGCTTGAGAAGCAATCAATCTCTGCTATTAACCATGGGTGCTGGTTTAAATGTGTCCTTATTTTTAAAAAAGAGTGGGCTACAAAACTAAAGTCTTAACAGTACTTCTTGACACCAAGGTAAAAGTGTGCTCCTTTATTTGAGTTCATAATCGTGAAGAGTTTGCTTTTTCACCCCAGTACATTTACCTCCTATGTTCCTGATCTCCAAAGCACTGGAACAATCTTTATGTCTGTGGTCTCTACTTCTATGGTCATTGTCATTCCTTCCTAGGAAACAAAGTGCAGTTTAGTGTTCCTCTCAAATTAAGAACGTAATTACCATAGTAATTAAATGATAATACATTTAGAAATGTGTATTTTAGTTATGCGGGACATATTTAGCTGACAAAGCTCCCCAATTTTATTTTCAGATAAAATTAAGATTCATGTAGACAGTGGATCTCTGAAGGTTGAAGGGGAATGTATTGAAAATGCTCTTCTAATAACTGAGGAACACAGAGTGGATTCTGTTGAGAAAACCATCCTAGTTAAGGTGAGCCCCCAACATTAATGTTAACTGAAATTAAGAGAGTTGAAGACAAAATGTATTCATTGTTGAAAAGGAAAACATTTCTGATCATAAAAGTGACACTAAACTCAGGAGTTAAATTTAAAAAATGCATTCTAATACCATATCAGCAAAAATGTATCTTATTTATGTATCACTCGGCTGTAGATCCTCATATCATCTCTGAGTTCATGGTGACACTGCCCTTCTTTCTGGAGGGTGGCTACTTTTGTTCCCCATGGTCCCCATGTGGTTTGTAAAGTAGCCACCACTCCAAGCTCACTCCCGTGAAGGACTTCAATCTCAATACAAATTAATAAACTACACATGAGATCGTATTCCATCACAGGAGCAAGCTTGGAGGGGTGGCTACTTTACAACACACACAGGGACCATGGGGAACAAAAGCAGCCAACCTCCAGAGAGTGTCAGTATGAATTCAGTGGTGGACTGCTTTCAGCACACTGTGAAAGCTGAAAATCTGCCTAACGTCTGATAAGCTCATGCCTTCCCTATTACCAGGCGTGAGGGTCCTGAAACAAGGGCTTTCCTCTGAAGGGTTGCTTGGGACATAGGGACATTCTCAACTACTGTCCATACATTGCATTAGTGTCTGTTTTTCTTTGAATCAGAAAGTGTCACTTTAAAGTTCCCTTATTTGAGAACATCATAATTAGGGATGTTCAGATACCAGTTCAGATAGCAGTGCCGATACTTGGCATTTTCACGAGAACTACCAGGGTTGCAGTGGTTGCAGCTGGGACCTGGCTCTGGCGCTCCACCACTGTCCTGAAATCATTAGTCTGTATTGTTTTAGAAAAACTGTCACATGACAATAAACAAAAATGTATCAGTACTTGTATCTGTGAGTACTGGGAGAAGTACAAAAAGGGGAACAGTGGTGGTCAATTCCAGGGTTTATGGTGCCACACCCCGATTATATAAAAAAAGAAGGAACATAGAGGAAAGTGGGGTTTTTAGGCACCAAAAATGACAAGTCACAGAAGTTTCAACAATTTTTAAAACTTCTGTGGCTTTTCATTTTTGGTGTCTAAAAACCCCACTTTC